AAAATGAAAATATCCGTCAAAGCAGGGTCAACAACAAACCTTTGAAGAGAGACGGTTTTCCCATCACTGGTTGCAATAAACTAGTAAAGGATCTAGACACAGCAGTTTAACTTTTATTAAACAAAGAACTCAGGGCACTAGAAAACATTAACAGACAACCAAACATAACACGAAGTAGAACTGACAACGAACTGAAAAACAGGGCTTAATTAGACAATCAAAGAAACATGAAACACCTGTGACAACTTAATCAAACCATTTGTAACCTAGACAACCAATAAGGAACGGGATCATGGGAAATTGGATAAAACTAAACAGGCAGTTTTTTTAACTAATTGACTAACTGGAAAGCTAACCTAGAAACACAGACATGAGCAGAACAGAGGCCTGTTGCATAAAGTTAGTTGAACAAACTCTGAGTTTCAGAGTAGGTTTGGAGTTGACAAATCCATAAAAATCCAACCTGGTTTAGATCAGATTCAGGCAGCGGAAAGAAAAAAAATCTGAATATAGCAATACATATGAAGCAAGCAGATGTATTTTAGAGGTGGATTAACAATGAAGTTTTTTTTTATACAGGCGTTGTTAAAATCACACATTATTACATCAACTGAAACACAACTCTTAAATCAATAAAAAAAATTGTACCAAAATTAAAAACAGATATATGCATTTTTTCCACAGACATATTGGGAAAAATGTATCACCATAAAGTTCAAATGTTATTGGCCTAATAATTTATATAGTTTCACAAAGAGCTCAAAAGAATACACGTAAGCTTAATCTGTTTTAAAGCTTTATATATTGATGCATGTATTATATTTATTTTAATTTAAAAGCTAAATTTATTGTCAGTTAATAGAATAATTGAATATATTATATAAATTAAACATAATTATAATTCATATAATATAAATATAAATAATTAGCAGTAAAAGATTAGCAATTTTTGTCTCTAAAATGTTTTCATTATAAACTGCTTAGAGTGAAACTAAGATACAGGGGGAGTGGCTTTATTGCATCTTTACTCAAAGCTGATTTGACAAATTTTGGTCTGCGATCTCTAACCCAGAATAAATCCTGTTCTGGAGCAGGTTAGCCTTGTAGCAGAAGTTACCATGGCGATGAAACCCGCTAAAAACCAATCCTCCTTCTTGAGTCCGAAAAACCAGAGTTTGTTCAAACTAATCTTGAACTTACCTGGGTAGAAACTGAAAACGGCTTTATGCAACAGGCCACAGATCAAGAACAAACTCTAAACGTGAGCAAGCAATCTCAAAACGTGACAATAGCAATGCCCTGGCATCATGGCAGCAAGTTTGCATAGGTAAGCAACACATAGGACACATTCTTCAGCTAAGTTTTAAATAACATAGGCTACTTTCAATTTCCATGTTTTTGAGACCTCTGGCCTTTAGGTTTTTACAAAATCACTCAAAGCTGTTTGGATCTTTGATGTTTGTCACACCTCACAGTTCTCACAAAGATTGGAGATGCATGTGATTGATTCTGGAACATGCGGTAGTTTTTTATTGTAGCACTCGGTCTGGCATTGTCATGCTGATGAATGAGTTTATACTGATACGAAAAGAGGCGAAGCCAAGCTGTTATTTGTTCCAAATGCTGAATTACGTAATGCTCTCATGACTCTAGGGAACTGCCTTGGCCAGATCCTTTCTGCACACTTTCAGAACATGCAGTTTATGTAATGAAAGCTCAAAAGGTCAATGAGGAACATTCTCATTTTCACAAGGGTCTATGAAATATGATCCAGTCAGAACATCTATTTTCGCTTCTCGTTTGAAAACGGTTAAGTAATGTCACATGATTTCTGTGCACAATGAAGTCAAGTTATCACGGCTTTTGGGAAAAAGAGCATTCCCGTCAAAAACACCCACAAGGCACATGGAACTGTTTTGGAAATCCTTGGGTCTAATGGGAATTGCTTTACTACGATCGGTTTTCATTTTTACAAAAGTATTTTCTGAACAACAGGTGCAGGTCGGTTACGCTCTTAAAGGGGTAGTTGCAACTTTATATGTATATATATATATATATATATATATATATATATATATATATATATATATATATATATAAAATGAAAGTCAATGGTGTCCAAAATAACATTAATCCCCATTCAGTTTCATTGTATGCGAAAAACCTTTTCCTTTTTCCTCAGAAGAAAGAAAGTCATACAGGTTTAGAGTGATATATGAAGGTGAGTAAATAATGAAAGAACCTTAATTTTTGGATGGACGATCCCTTTAACTCACTGAAGGCCCATTCACACCAAGAACCATAACTATAAAAATACAGTAATGATAACTATATTAGCGTCCACACCAACTGACGATAATGTTCTGTTTCTTATAAGCGCAAACACAGTTATGTTGTCTAATGCGCACACTTTTTTAAACTCGGGCAGGTTCAGCTGATTCCAATGGTATCGTTCCTCTGTGTCATTATTAGGCTATCTGTGGTGTGACTCGCTCAATTGACACTGTTCTCACGCTCTCATGCCACACATCCACTTTCTCACGCACTGAAAAAACATTCCGGAGCAAAGAAAGAAAGACCAGGTTACTTTTTATATGAAACAAAGGCCCTGTTTAAACCTGCATTAAGGTGCGGTCGATCGGATCGCAAGTGGACGACGCTAAATACAGGTGTAAACAGGGACTGTCAATTTTATTATAAAATTCAAATAATACATAATGCTTTGGCGCTCTTTAATGTGCCGTGACAGATCTCTGTAGCTCCTCAGTGCAAGCAGTGAACCGATCTGTCTTCTTTATTACTATAGCACCACATAAACACGAATGAACATCAGAAGGTACAATGAAAGATACAGTACAGCTTACTGAAATGTATCGTGTCCATGTAACGCTCCTTCCCCATCCATAATTCTCACTCCAAGCTAAACTAAAAAGTTGACAGCCCTGATACTATTAAAGCTTAAGTCAGAAATGTGCGAACTGACAAATTTTTAATAAATAAAACTATGTGAAAGCGCGATTGAGGATGAAATGCTGAACACACTCAAGAAGGATAACTGATATCAAAGAAGCAAAAAGCCGCCGTAATCCTTACAAAGGGATCATCTGCTGTTGAAGCATGTTTTTCCTTTTCCTCCCCTGCATACTTTTTCGCCGGCCAGATTATGATGAAATATTTCATTGTTCCCTATTACAGCCTGCTAGATGTTATATTTTACTACAGAATGTCTGCAAATGCAGCTTCAGCTTGTGTGTTGGTGTCGCGTCCATGATCAGTCGGGTCCAGATGTTGAGCAGATCTTTACAGGGAGCGGCAGGAATGCTGTGACATCAAACACTTCTCTGCTGGCATTGATCCCAGATCTGGAAGTGATGCGGCAAGAGTTATGCTGATAACTATCGTCCCCTCAGTCAGTGACGGGAAAATGTCTGGACGAGGGAGATCCTCGTTTCTGTTTGACTAGTGTCTGGAAGAGAGTAAATATGAGCTCCTTAGCCATAAAGAGAAGCCATTTGTGGTTTAAAGATATAATTTGCAAAGAGGACATCTGTTTAAACAGAGCTTTAAATAGTGGTGTTTGCTAAATCAAGTGATCAGTCTTAAAGGGCCAGTTCACCCAAAAATTCTGTCATTTTCTCATCCTTATGTCGTTCAAACCCTTTTTCTTCTGTGGAAGACATCAGAAGATATGTTGAAAAATGCAATATTGTATGTTCAAGATCCCTTAAAGTTGTAACTGCAAGTCTTCACCAAGGCTGCATTTATTTGATCAAAAATGCGGCTAAACAGTAATATTGTAAAATAGTATTACAGTTTAAAATAACAGTTTTTATTCGAATATATTGTAAAGTGTAATTTATTCCTGTGATCAAAGCTGAATTTTCAGCATCATTACTCCGGTCTTCAGTGTCACATGATCCTTCAGAAATCATTATAATATGAAGATTTGATGCTCAAGAAACATTTCTAATTATTATCAATGATAATTGCTAATTTTTGTGTCAAAAATTATTAGAAACCGTGATACATTTTTTCAGTTTTTTTAAGGATAGAAAGTTCAAAAGAACAGCATTTATTTGAATTTAAAAATCTTTTGTAACATAAATGTCTTTACTGTCATTTTTTATTAATTAAATGCATCTTTAAGAAAAATATTCATTTATTTTAAAAAAATGACCCCAAACATTTGAATGGTAGTGTATCTTATTGTAAGTATTTACCAGTCATTTGAAAAGGTAATCGATTAGTACCATGTCGAACTGTTTTATACCATCATTTCATTCATTAGAAGTTTCTTCTATAATTCTGACTACAAAAAAAAAATACACACAAATTAGTCAATGGTTGTCATACAGTAAGATTATAGAGTGGTTAAATTAATGTGGGCAGCAGCCTAGATCATTTAGTCTTGCAATAATTCCAATGCTTTCAATGAGAAATGCTTTCATTTGATGAGTTCATATTGAGATATCTGATGTTTAATTGCAGTTGGTGGAGACGAATGTGAGCCAGGGTTATTATAACCAACTAAAAAATAAAACCATAAATATATTTTTTTAATACATTTGAACTAAAATAGATATGAACTTAAATTAATTTTAATATGAATATTAAATATAATTTTTTTTTTTAAAATCGTCTATAGGTGCCAAAAAACATTTCTCATTAAAGTAAAACTGATATAAAAATGAATAAAAACTATATAGACATATATAAAAAATAAATAAAAAAAAACTACAAAAAAAACTAACTAAAAACTAAAATACAAAGAAAATACAAAAAAATAATTTTAAATATTTAAAAAACTATAATAGTATCTCAATGATACCAAAATAACACTGATGTGAGTTTACTCTTTAGGTTTTCTTTAGGAGAAACATCTAAGAAGCAGGAGACTCCATGTCATTGCCATCTAGAAACATTTAGGATATTAAAGAAATCTCAGATTTGTTACAATGAAACTCGTGATGAGAGCGGTGATGTCATGTATGTGTTTGTCTCTGTCGAGGGGGTGGGAACAGGTCGAGGGAAGGATTTTGGAGCGTGGTATATTGCTATAAACCAGCAGACGCAGTTATGTTCCTTCACTTGAATCTCAGTAACAGGGATTATTTCATGCAAGCAACTCCGATGACCACTGGAACAATCTCCCAGCACACGAACTGAGGTATTTACCCTTGACTGCACCTCGGATATTATTCCAACACACAATATGACCTTTAACTGTTCCAGTGAGATCTCGTTTGGAGCATTTTTAGACTTTACAGATGCTCTGCGTTGTCTGCATCTGCTCAGTATTTAACAATCTGTTTACCAGACAGTCTATGAAGCCCTTCATCAGATTTTATTTAACTATTTCCAATAGTGAAGGTTTCTTAAATGTGTGAAGCATATGCTGAAAATCATGAACTCTTATAAAAGTCCGAGATAATGTCAGATTCTCAGATGCTTTGCACTGTCCTGATGACATGGTTGTTGTTTCTCTGAGGAGGATGAGGATGAAGAGCGCTCTGAACCTGCTGTCGCTGCTGTGTCTGTGTGCGGCCCAGAAGAAACTGACCCAGGACACGTCTGAGTGGGACCACCGAGGTAAAATCTCTTCAACTTTATTTTTATTTTTCATTTTTTTAGTATCAGAACAGGTGATGTGAGGAAAAATCCTGACCGATCTTATTAATTTCACTCTTGAGGAGCAGTTGTGCTGATATAATGCAAATGTTTGTAGAATGCCTCCAAAATAGTTTAGAGGATCAATATTTTTTACCAGTAGTGTTCAAAATAGATCTAAAAAATATTAATGTGTTCTGTTCTATTTTTATTTTTTTATAAGTATCAGTGAAAAGATTCTAAACTTTCAGAAAATATTGTTTATGTCACTGGGGAAGAACTCTTAAATGGACATATTTTTGCACATTTTTTTCTGGAAATATAAGATTATATGTGCTGTTTTATATTTATTTCACATGAGGGTCATAAGTTTTACAACCCGTTTCACTTATACTTTGGACATGACCGTTTAAAACACTGATTTGTGTATTTTTTGTTGTTGTTTTCTAGCACAAAAAAAAATGCATTAATGAAATCCTAAGTTACTGATTTAAAAAAAAAATGAAGGAAAATGTCAGAATGGATCATAGTTATTATAGTTAACTAAAACTAAAAACATAAAAAACTTTTGTTACTTGAAATAAAATAAAATTTAACAATAATACATATATTGTTAAAGTATGATAATATTAATATATATATATATATATATATATATATATATATATATAAATATATAAAAAATTAAATGTAATATTAATAAACTTAAATATTTATTTCAGCTAGTTAAGTCAATTTCATTTAGTTAAATCAAGATTTTATTAGTTTCACTTGCTGTACTAATAAATCTAAAACTAATACTGAAATAAAAACATAGACATACAAATAACAGAAATACACAACAGAATTACTGTAATAAAACTTGAGCTAAAATGTAGCATATTAAAATGTAGATGTAGAATAATTTCGACATTCAAAGTAAGAACGATCTCAAAAAGGTTTAGCCTCGTCTGAAACAAACGTCCTTCAGCACAAATGATGGATCGCTGTGGCATTAAAGCATCTTTGATTGAGTTTTCATATGACCAGAAGCTCAGTGTGAAGTTGTGTTCGCTTGTCACAGACAAACCCAAAGGCAAGAGCTGTTCAAACCTGACGCAGGTCCTGGACAACTGGAAATACGCCATCATGTACCAGGTCAAAGACATGCTGGTCAACGATCATGCGTCCATCTTACCCGAATATAACAGGTAGGATGTGAAATCTGTTGTTGTTGTAACTTTTGTAGGTGTTTGGTTTCATGAAATGAGGTATTTTCTGTGACTTACCTAATGGAAACCAAAGCTAGTCTGTCCATACACATGCTAGTCCACTCCAGTCTGAGGCAATCTGGCCATTTTCTCTGTGCCATTTTCCTTTCTGTTTCTTTTTTTTTTCACAGCAACTGGAGAAAATTAGGATCACATGCCATAAAAGGAAATGATTATTAATCCAAAAATGCTTTGACTGAAATGAACCACTTAATCTGCTCAATATGCCGCCTTCTCAAGGTGCAGGACCTTTGATCCGGAGCCTAAAATCTGTGTAGCAGCTGAAAGACTTCATGTGTATAATTACTACATCATTTCTAATTCTGCTACAGATCATAATTTACTTTTATAACCTGAGCGAATAAAATATGGAAGGATGGATGAATGGATGGATGGACAGATGAAAGTAAGGATGGATGGATGGATGGATGGATGATTAGATGGATGGATGGACAGATGGAAGTAAGGATGATGGGTGGATCGAAAGATGGACGGACAGATGGAAGTATGGATAGATGGATGGATGGACGGACAGATGGAACTATGGATGGATGGATGGATGGATGGATGGATGGATGGATGGATGGATGGATGGACGGACAGATGGAATTATGGATGGATGGACAGATGGATGGATGGATGAATGGATGAATGGATGAAAGGATGGAAGGATGGATGGAAGGATGGACGGATGGACGTTACAGATGGAAGTATGGATGGATGGATGGATGGATGGATGGATGGATGGATGCATGGATGGATGGATGGATGGATGGATGCATGGATGGAAGTATGGATGGATGAATGGATGGATGGACAGATGAAAGTAAGGATGGATGGATGGATGATTAGATGGATGGATGGACAGATGGAAGTAAGGATGATGGGTGGATGGAAAGATGGATGGACAGATGGAAGTATGGATGGATGGATGGACGGACAGATGGAAGTTAGGATGGATGGATGAATGGAAGGATGGATGGACGGACAGATGGAAGTATGGATGGATGGATGGATGGACGGACAGATGGAAGTATGGATGGATGGATGGATGGACGGACAGATGGAATTATGGATGGATGGACAGATGGATGGATGGATGGATGAATGGATGGAAGGATGGATGGAAGGATGGATGGATGGACATATGGAAGTATGGATGGATGGATGGATGCATGGATGGATGGATGGATGCATGGATGGAAGTATGGATGGATGGAAGTATGGATGGACAGATGGATGGATGGACAGATGGAAGTATGGATGGATGGACAGATGGATGTATGGATGGATGTATGGATGGATGGATGGGTGCATGGATGGACAGATGGAAGTATGGATGGATGGATGGATGGAAGGATGGACAGATGGAAGTATGGATGGATGGATGGATGGATGGATGGATGGATGGATGGATGGATGGATGGTGGATGGATAGAAGGATGGATAAATGGATGGATAAATGGATGGATGAATGGATGGACAGATGAAAGTAAGGATGGATGGAAGGACAGATGAAAGTAAGGATGGATGGACAGATTAAAGTAAGGATGGATGAGTAGATGGATGGATGGACAGATGGAAGGAAGGAAGGATGGTTGGATGGATGGATGGATGGACAGATGGAAGTAAGGTTGATGGATGGATGATGGAAGGAAGGAAGAAGGGAAGGATGGATGGAAGGAAGGAAGTAAGGATCATGGAAGGAAGGAAGGAAGGAAGGAAGGAAGGATGGATGATGGATGGAAGTAAGGATGGATGGATGGATAGATAGATAGATAGATAGATAGATAGATAGATAGATAGATAGATAGATAGATAGATAGATAGATAGATAGATAGATAGATAGATAGATAGATAGATAGATAGATAGATAGATAGATGATTAATTGTTAACATTATAATTAATAGTAAAATTAATATGATGTCAAAAACCGCATGTATATTAATAAAATATTCAATTTGTACAATTTCTGAAGATAAAGTCAGCGGTGCTTGCCTGTATAAAACTCATCATCACTACGTTACTGTGTTGTAGGCAGTTGCCATGGGGTTGCTAAGATGTTCTAAAAAATTTAGTGTGTTGCTAGGATGTGTGGTTGCCAGGCCATTACTTACTTTCCCCAATCAAAAGAATTTCATGCAAACCACATGATTTAAGGAATTATTTATGCAGGACTATTTATGAATAATTATTACTTGGTTTGTTTGTTTTCTTTTTCGTGTTTTTTCTGTATATATCTGATGTTGTTTTTGTTGTGCACAGGATCCAGCCCCTGTCGGATGCGGTGGGAGATCTCTATAAGCAGTTCGACACTCTGAAGGAGAACCTGGCCAAGCTAACCAACAAGTTTGACAAAGTGGAAAGCTTTGTGGACGAGATCCAAGCAGGGAAATTCCCCAAGCCAAAACTCTGGACATCCCAGAGACACTCTGTCAGGAGAATCCCACAACAGATCCCAGCGAAGAGTCCTGTAAAAGTCCCGGGTAAAGCCCTGTGGGCTCAGAGGAGAGCCAGACGAGGTCCCGGCACCTAGCCGGAGAGGACAGCAGATCTGGACACATAATCATGATGCTTTTCCAGAGATGAATTCAATACAGAGCAACATTCTGGGATTTACAATGTTTTATATTACAAAATATACAGACTTAGTCAAGTCATAAACTGGCTGTATGGAACATGCATATGAAAGGTTATTTGTATAGTGTGATGTATAGTTTGACTTTTATGCATGCGTTTAGAAATATATGAAATGTATATTATGTCATATCACAAATCCATTTATTTTTTAATATTAGAGCTATACTAGTGGAAAATATGAGGAAAAAAAATCTAAATCACAAAATCTTAAAGGTATGATGCCTTAAATATTGAAATGTTTACTTTCCCCCTCTTTTACCGATTCACTAGAGCTTATAATGTGTGTGTAATTACTGTATTCCAAACTCCCACGAATATATGCATATGTTTTAGCATGTTTATCATGGCACATTACTTAAACAATAAGCATATCAGTGTGTTGTTTAGCATCTCGTTGTTGCATGCTATAAGAATAAGCTACAAGTAACTACTTTAAAAAGGAAACAACGGCTCACAATTATTATGGGAAAATATTCGCCAGTTCTGAAGAACTGAAAATACAAAAATTATGAAATATTTCTGATGGACAGTGTCTGTCCTCTACGATCATTGTAAGAGATCTGAACATCTTGAAGACTGAAGTGATTGTTGACATTAATAGAAATATGTTGACATTAAAACTTGTCTGAATCAGGATCATGTTTATATAATAATGTTTTTTTCTTGGAAAATTCATGCAATAAATGTCTGATGTCTGATACATTCTTTGTTATGATGGTTTGTTGAAATGAAAATAAATGGTCAGTGTCAGTCTGGCCAGCTGTGACTTCCTCTCCCTTTATAAGACCGCCATCATCTGAACCACAGACGGTAAAAACATTCCATCAATGCAGTCAGGAGGCTATTATTCATAGATTAAGCATCAGTGAAATGTGTGCTAATTTAGCCGACAAGTTAAACAGTTTTCGTCGAGAAATATGTCATGATGTACCGGTAACTAGATTTTATGTCAGATGATGTACATTAATGACTTCTTGTTAAAGAGACAGTTCCGTTTTAAAGAGACAGTTCCGTTTTAATGAGGGACACATAATATAAATGTTTTTTTTTTTTTTTTTATATATATATTTTTTTTAATGCTTTTTAAAATTATAATTCGTGCATTTAACCCGTGCGTAGATTGATGTTTTTTTTATTTGTAATTTTTTTAAACCCCATTATGATACTTCAATTTTGAATTATGCGTTAAGTCGCCGGACCTTTATTTTGAATCATCCAAAACCGGAAGTTTTTGTATTGCTGTAGTGTAAATATGTTCAGACCGCGTACATTGAAGGTTAGTTGGTTGTTTTTGAACGTTTGTTCAAAGATTGTAAATTGTTTTCGTATTCCACTTTATAAAAAAAATGCGTTTAACACGTTCAGTGCATGACTTTGATATGTCTGTGTTGTAAATATTTAGTAAAACAAAACTGACTGACCTTCAGAGATGTGAATGTTTCTCTTTTTTTACAAATATCTTCATATTTAGGGAATCGTGCGTTTTTATGCACAGAGTCGTTTCTAATCATAATTAGCCTTTTAAATTTAGACATAATATTTGTGGAAAGGGTACCTAAATTAGTACAACACACACACACACACACACACACACACACACACACACACACACACACACACACACACACACAGTGGGTTTACTGTACAACTCTGAAGACGTGTCAATAAAAGAACTTACATGTCAATAAAATAATTGGCTTTATTGGAAATTGCGGGTATTTTGTTGTGGTAAAAGGGGTAAATACAACCAAGTGTTACATTATTAAAATTGAATTATGGCCACATTGTCTATATTCCATGCCATTTTATCATATAAGTTACAATCTATAAGTGTTTATAATAAGTATAATGATTTTTGTGATCTTGTCAAGTCAACTCATCTTTATTTATATAGCGCTTTTTACAATACAGATTGTTTCAAAGCAGCTTTACAGAGATAACATGGAAATAATGCAACGAAGTTTGTTTCAGCTGTACAGCAGATCTAGAAGAAAAGTGTCATAGTCCAGCTTAAGTAAATTCAGTGATGGTTCATTCTTGTTGCAAAAAAAGTTATACATTTAGTCTATTTATCTGTACAACCACTCTGGAGAAAACCATGATGTCATCGTCCAGCTCAGTTCAGTTCTTGTTCAATGGTGTCAATGCAGACAGATCAATAATATTGTTGAATAGGCTATTAAGTGCATCTTAAAAGAGTTTAGATTCAACAGCCTTGGTGAATAAGGTACGGGATTCCCTATTCGCTCAGTCAAAACATTAAAGATTGACATGAATAAGAGATACTGTGCAAAGCCACAATACTTGTCTCTGATGTACGGTAGTTACTTCATTGGTTCTCATGTTGAGCGACACAATCAACTGTTAAGACTCGTCTTCATGAACTAACAATGTAAGAACACATTCCTAGAATAACCGAGCAGCCAAATTGTTCAGTTCCTCTAATACAAGGGTTAGATGGTGCAATTAAAATCTGCAATTTAACCTCAACACTCAAAAATAAACTAAATTAAAGTGAATTTCTTCACCCTGCAACTTCAGGTCCAAGCCTGGACCTCAAACCACTAAGCAACTTTTAGGCATCAACCCATTGCTCAGGTATGTGTGCAATCTGAAACTGTAAAACGATATAAAATATGATGTGTAAAATCTGATGTAGTCATACAGTGTTCATCTCTATAGCCATGGAAGACGACATACAGGAGGAGATGCTGTCCGAGTTCAGAGAGCGGCGTCTGGGCGGCTGGCAGATCCTGCAGCTGACGGCCGGCACGGGTCTGGCGGTCTACGCCGTCTGGGCAGGAATCCTAATGCCGGGGTTTCGCCGAGTGCCACTCAAACTACAGGTGAGGTTTGAGGAGCGTGTCGGTATTAATGCTGCACATGATGAGGGATTTATCAGCCCAATAACTGCTGCTGTGTTTGTGTTCCAGGTGCCTTATATGCCAGCGAGCAGAGCTCAAGTGTGTAACGTCATGACTCTTCTGAAGGGCAGATCTGGAGGCATCGCTGACCTGGGATCAGGGGACGGCAGGATTGTAAGTGATCCTCATACTTTTTCATTTAGTTTGGGATCGGTAAGATTTTTAAATGTTTTTGAAAGAAGTCTCTTATGCTCATCAAGGCTGCATTTATTTGATCAGACTTACAGTGAACAAAGTAATATTGTGAAATATTATTACTATTCAAAATAGTTTTTTTCTGTTGTAATATATTGTAAAATGTAATTTATTCATGTGATCAAAGCTGAATTTTCAGCATCATTACTCCAGTCTTCAGTGTCACATGATCCTTCAAAAATCAGTCTAATATGATGATTTGCTGCTCAAGAAGTATTTCTGATTATTGCAAATGTTAAAAACAGTTGTGCTGCTTCATTTTTTTGTGTGGAAACTGTGATACATTTTCTCAGGATTCTTTGATGAAGTTCAAAAGAACAGCATTTATTTGAAATAGAAATCTTTTGTAACATTATAATTGTCTTTACTGTCACTTTTGATCAAATTAATGTATACTTGCTGAATGAATGAATTTAAAAAAATATATATATATATTTTTTTTCCACTTTTGAATGTTATTATATGTGCTTTTGTGTTTGTTGTAAATGTGTGCAGGTGTTAGAAGCGTGTCGTGAGGGTTTCTCTCCAGCTGTTGGTTTTGAACTCAATCCTTGGCTTGTTCGTCTTGCACGCTTTCATGCGTGGAGAGCTGGACTCCACAGAAGTGTTTCATATCAGCGAGAGGACCTGTGGAAGGTATAGTGAACATCTAACAATCAAAATACTTTATTATATCCAAACAGATTATACAAATATTTTACCCTGACATTATACACCCATATTATACATATTTTTAATGCATTATATATACACTCACCTAAAGGATTATTAGGAACACCATACTAATACTGTGTTTGACCCCCTTTCGCCTTCAGAACTGCCTTAATTCTACAAGGTGCTGAAAGCATTCTTTAGAAATGTTGGCCCATATTGATAGGATAGCATCTTGCAGTTGATGGAGATTTGTGGGATGCACATCCAGGGCACGAAGCTCCCGTTCCACCACATCCCAAAGATGTTCTAATGGGTTGAGATCTGGTGACTGTGGGGGCCATTTTAGTACAGTGAACTCATTGTCATGTTCAAGAAACCAATTTGAAATGATTCGAGCTTTGTGACATGGTGCATTATCCTGCTGGAAGTAGCCATCAGAGGATGGGTACATGGTGGCCATAAAGGGATGGACATGGTCAGAAACAATGCTCAGGTAGGCCGTGGCATTTAAACGATGCCCAATTGGCACTAAGGGGCCTAAAGTGTGCCAAGAAAACATCCCCCACACCATTACACCATCACCACCAGCCTGCACAGTGGTAACAAGGCATGATGGATCCATGTTCTCATTCTGTTTACGCCAAATTCTGACTCTACCATCTGAATGTCTCAACAGAAATCGAGACTCATCAGACCAGGCAACATTTTTCCAGTCTTCAACTGTTCAATTTTGGTGAGCTCTTGCAAATTGTAGCCTCTTTTTCCTATTTGTAGTGGAGATGAGTGGTACCCGGTGGAGTCTTCTGCTGTTGTAGCCCATCCGCCTCAAGGCTGTGCGTGTTGTGGCTTCACAAATGTTTTGCTGCATACCTCGGTTGTAACAAGTGGTTATTTCAGTCAAAGTTGCTCTTCTATCAGCTTGAATCAGTCGGCCCATTCTCCTCTGACCTCTAGCATTAACAAGGCATTTTCGCCCACAGGACTGCCGCACACTGGATGTTTTTCCCTTTTCACGCCATTCTTTGTAAACCCTAGAAATGGTTGTGCGTGAAAATCCCAGTAACTGAGCAGATTGTGAAATACTCAGACCGGCCCGTCTGGCACCAACAACCATGCCACGCTCAAAATTGCTTAAATCACCTTTCTTTCCCATTCTGACATTCAGTTTGGAGTTCAGGAGATTTTCTTGACCAGGGCCACACCCCTAAATGCATTGAAGCCACTGCCATGTGATTGGTTGATTAGATAATTGCATTAATAAGAAATTGAACAGGTGTTCCTAATAATCCTTTAGGTGAGTGTATATACAGTAAATATGTGTGTGTGTGTGTGTGTGTGTATATATATATATATGTGTGTGTGTATATAAATGTATAATATTTATGTATGTATGTGTGTGTGTGCCATCAATCATCTGTAAAAAATGTGCCAAATCGGATGTGCTGTGGCGATCCCCCCCAAAAAAGAAAGAGAGAGTGCTGTCAATCTATTAAAAAACTCATTAATCACACATTTTTCTGTAATTAATAATGATAAATTCCATATAAACATAATATTTTTAAATTGTAATAATTTCACATTGAATCTCCAAATTAATGTAGAAACAACATAAAGACAGTATATTTTAAATATATTTTAAATACTTTTTCCTAAGTACTATAAATGAAAGCTAGTATCACTGATACTGCTGTCTCTGTTAAACTAATCTTTTCCTCAATTTTAGCCATTAATTGTAGTCATTCAAAATTACAGTATAACTAAAAAGGTATTATTTTTAACATTTAATAGGCTTTAAAAATATAACAACTTTTAATTGACCTTAAAACCATCATCCTTATTAAAGCTACAAGAGCAGTGAGTGATTTTGTCTTTTGTTCTTTGATTAACATTAATGACTGCATCAGGTTTATTGGGCTGCTGTCACTTTAAGAAGTCCTGATGCACATGGCACAGATCTGAAATACATCCAATTTTCTACATTACGTTAAGACTTTTTAAAATCATTTAAGACTGTGCTTACGAGGATACTCGACAAAAATGGGCATTTTGACAGTTGTGCTCTTCGAGTCAGTCGGGTTTTTGTTCACAGAGAGCCGCTTCACACATAGCGCGCCAGTACAGTTTTAAGTTGTGCCTTTTCGTGCTTGAATGGTTTAAAAGCACTTGAATGAATGAGAGCGTGATCATATAATGTAACGCAGCCGTATTTTTAAAGCGTTAATCTGAAAAAGGCGTTCATTTTGACAGCACTAATATTGAAAGATAATTTACCCAGACATTATACAGCCAAATTATACATATTTTGTTATGCATAATATATATTTTATTTATATATCAATATATTTTACCCAGTTATTAAACACCCATATTATACCCCAAACAAAATACCTGTGGAAGGTATTTTGAACATCTAAACACCTAAAATACTATATTATACTCAAACAGATTCTCTCATATAAATACACTGTCCTAAATTCTCATACACATTTCTCATACAGAAGCAAGATATGATTTATAAATTAGTGTTTTTGCATGTGTATTTCCAGGTTGATCTCTCAGCGTATAAAAATGTCACAGTATTTCTAGCCCCAAGTGTGGTAAGTCCCACAGTGGTTCCTAAATCATTTAATAAGATGCAATAGACCTTATTCAATCAGTTCATGCATTTGCATCCTATTATTGAGGCTAAAGGCCTTACACACCATGTACTGTGTGTTTATCAGTTAAGTCTTTTACAAAAGAAGCTACTGGCGGAGCTCCCTGAAGACGCTTTGATTGTGGCGGGACGTTTTCCGTTTCCTGATTGGACGGCGTGCAAACTAGAGGGTGAAGGTGCGGACAGAGCGTGGGCCTATCGCATACAAGAACTGAGACGCCGCCACCAATCACAAGATACAAACGTCTCCAGATGAGAAACGTTTTAAAAAAAATCTCTGCTTTCTTATTTTAGCTTGGTTTTTGTTTTATCATGTTTTACAGAATTGTTTGATGCACAGAATGTTTTAAAAAGAAACTTTTAAATATGTAATTATATCATTTTTATTGCGCTATCACTCTTAAGCGAAACAACACATAAGATGTCGAAAAACACGTCGGTGTCTGTGAGTGTTCCTTAAAGGGTTCAAACCCGTGGATGACTTCCTGTTTCTTAATGTGACCCAGATAATGTCATGTGTACAGTCTCTTTAAGTGTTTCTCTTTTTCAGAAAAAAAAGGAAATAAACCACATATATTGTGAGTCATCTTTAATTAATATATTGTGTGAGAAGTGTATGTTTCTGAATGTTTACTACGCAGTCTGCAGTCTTACTCCACATGTACTTGAGTTGATGGGTTGCATAATGTGAACTGAAGTCGTTGAGCAAACCACATGAAACGATGAGCAAGAGAACGGCAAGCTCTTCCCTTTCAAGTTCAGAGATGACAGGCTGTCACAGACTGATTCTCACAATTCAAAAGTACATCTAACTGCAGAAACAAGAAGTACCAAAGCTTTATTGGCCATTTGGTCTATGCTGATATTTACAAAAGCCAGTGAATAATACAATCCACACACATATATATATATACAATACATTTGAGTGATTAGAAGTACTCAAACTACATTTATTGAAAATCACAAATATTTTGAAAAAAATATATAAACTGCTATCCATTGAGAAAGCCATTTGGAGCGGATGTCAAAACGAAATCACTTCGTATTGACCATTGGAAATATCTATAGCGGAATACCAGACGATTAAGAAAATTAAACAAATAAATAATACAAAAATAAATCAATTTAAATAAACATCTAACAGTACAGTAACAGTTCTATAATAATAAATAAAAACCAATAATGTAACTGGAAAGAAAATAAATGTATCATATAAATGGGGTCTTTATGTAGGTCTTAAGAAACTACATAAATGCCTTTTTAGGACGAGCTTGTTTATTTAGACTGAGAAGCTCTGCTTTAGAGGATGCATATGTGCAATAATGAGGCAATACCTGCACTCATAGTGCATACTGTACTCAACATGTGTCTTGTTGCGGCCGGTTTCATCCGGTCCAAGATTAAGATTTCACTTCCGGTAGTTTAATAGTTTGAGTAAAAGCATCTAGTAACTAGTTCCTAACTACAGTTTTCCGTACAGCGCATGAGTGTCTTCCTCCAGGGGCGCTTGACGGCTCACAACGCCGAGTCCCCTATGATGGAGACGCTTCAGATCTCACAACACTTAGTGTCTTATTGGAGATATTTTCATCATTCAAAGTATAATCATTTAATATAAATTGCTTACAAATATAAATGCTTGACATGCGAATGAAAATTTTCATCTGAATCAACTATGAAAGTATTTAAAGTACAATCCGGATTAGCAATCACACGACTGACTGTGACTGGTGTATTCTGACCAGCGCTGAGAAAAGTAACACGTATCACGTGATGTCTAAAGCGAAAGAAAACGGTGTTTAAAATGAAACTCCTTTTTAAACGTTTTCATCTAATTCATCTAATGTCCTGCAAAACATTTTACAACGTTTAAGTAGATCATGTGAGCTGTGTAGATTGATATTTTTTGTTCTAAAATAAATAGTTAAAAACAAACAAATACATTACATAGTTGAAAACATTTTGTTACATGTTTTCGGAGCTTTTTGTATAATTTGATTTTTTTTTTACCATTTATAAAATTGAAGAAATTTTCCGAATAAAATAACTAATTGCTGAATGTATTGGTCGGGGGGAAAGAAAAAACCTAACTAAAGAATCACTTCATTTTTTAGACCCGTCCCTCCTGACCAATTAGAAACAACTTTGACTCTTTAAGCCCCGCCCATCTAAGTACACACTCTTCCACACTATTTTCCGTTCTACCCATTCATGCTGATTCTGTGAGGACGATGTCACTTCCGTTAAGTTAATGGGCAGATGAGAGGAAGCTACGAGAGGCCTGCACGGAAAGAGAGATCCACTAACCCAAGGAGTGGCACTGTCAGACTTCTGAGGGCTCAAATTAAAGCTCCGAGTCCCACACAGCGCGAACACCACCCGAGGCGTGAAGAAGAGAGTCCCGGCACATTTTCAAGACCGCTGTTTGGTTGAACTTCTCTCTGTTTCGCAGTGGTTTAATGCGGGTTGTCTCCGTGTATCCGGGCAGCGTCAGTTCCAGTCTCGCGCTAGTTCAACAATAATAACAAGTGTCCCGGAGCCCGAAACCGGGGTCCACCGGGCGTGTGCGGGACAGTGATGCGGGGTTTCGGTGCTTCCAGAAGGTGAAACACAAAGGCCCCATAGGAAGCATGAGCGAGCAGATCCCGATTCATCTCATATCATAGCCGCATAAAAGCTCAAGAGCCCGGGCATGGTGAGTCCATATTATATAAAGCAAATATATTTATATGTATAAGACACTAACTTGTATATTTGATCCAAAATGTCTCTTATGTAATCGTGAACTTTTATATGTGCACCAATGCCTGGAGGTTGCATTGCTTTTGAAGCGTCTGTGCTTCATCTGTAAATTATCACATGACGTTGTGTTTGAAGCACTGATTTGATTTAAGCACCTGTCAAAAACACTTATTTTTATGTGCGTATTTCCGTAATATGATTTCTTATGATATATTTTGAGACCCATAGCAGATATAGATCTGTCAGATAAGAAGGTAAATCAAATGCATACGTTATTCTGTCTTTAAGGGATGAAATAAGGTGCTAGTCGCATAAATGAAACCGAGCACAGCTGCTTCTGCGTGTGAATGTAACGGTGTCCTCTCGAGTTATTGACAGTATGAACAGTATGAGGAAACCGAAGGCATTCTTCTGCTATTCTGTGACGTCACGCTGGAGCAATGCAACGTGTTGTGACTCATACGAAGAATTCAGAACCCTGAGCATCATCATCTTCATCTTCTTCATCACCAGCCCACTTCCTGCTTTCGTCTTCCATGCCATTCTTTTACTCTTCAGTGCATTCTCACACTCTTTTTTTTTTTTTTTTTTTAATGTGAGAAGTATTTCGAGCACTGAAAAAAGCAACTGTTGAGAAAAAACAACAACTAAAAATAGAATAAATAACCCAATAAAATAAATTAAACACCCCAAATAAGTATTTCCATCATTTTCTCATCCTCGTGATGGTCCAAACCGGTATGACTTTCTTTAAAAGATGCTTTGAAGAACAAATTATTTTGTGTCCCACAGAAGTCAGTCATACATGACAGGAGGGCAGGGGCGTTGAATTTAGTAGGGACGTGTCAACCTAGCAATATCCAGTAAAACTGATATATCCCTAGCAATAATTTCGATCGAAACTTACAATATATTTATATATTAATGTCCCCGTCACCACCAATTACAAAATCAAACCTACACCACTGCAGGAGGGTAATTTAAATAATGACTAACTTTTGATTTTTGAGTGAAAGATCCCTTTATGAGCTGTTAATAATTTCACAAAACATCAACAATAGTAAACAGTGTAAATAAAGCCGCCAAAGCATAAAACAGTCCAAAAACAGTAACTGTGTTACTGTTGAGCTTGCAGATCAGTTGTGAAAACATTTGAGGAATATATTGGTTAGTCTAAAATGGGACTTTATGTATATTAACAGTAATTCACAGTGTCTGTGATGGAAAAAACCTTGCATTGAGGATTCACAGTTCGATTATATGCGATTCGAGTGTTTGATGCATTGCATGGTTGCATTAAATGTTCAGACTGAAATGCCTTATCTTGTCATTTCTCATCTTTCTCTTCTGCCCTTCCCCCCACCTCTCTCTCTCTCTCTCTCTCTCTCTCTCTCTCTCTCTCTCTCTCTCTCTCTCTCTCTCTCTCTCCTCTCTCTCTCTCTCTCTCTCTCTCTCTCTCTCTCTCTCTCTCTCTCTCTCTCTCTCTCTCTCTCTCTCTCTCTCTCTCTCTCTCTCTCTCTCTCTCTCTCTCTCTCTCGTCTGCAGGCGTCAGAGGAGTCCTCCTTACGGGCCCTGGAGAGTCTTATGACAGAGTTTTTTCACAGCTGCACCACCAATGACCGCAAGAGAGAGATCGGTGAGCATACGCCTGACATTGGCCTTCACACCCTCATCATTTCCTGATTTGCAGAGTCACCCTTTGTGCTGTTATTAGCTGAATAGGCTGTCACTTGTTATGTCTGGCTGATATCAATAGATGTCCTATTTTCTCTTCTGAAACAAACATACTGAAATGTTAACATGTGATCGCCTACATTCACTTCAGTGTTTGAAATATTGTCAAGTGTGGTGCGCTAGGAGTGGGATAGTTGCTGTTAAATCTAAGTGGCAAGACAAGTGGCGACAAGTGTTAAGTGTTGTAAAGTCTGTCAAACTTTCCAGTGTTTCTGTCTGTGTGTAGCACCTACCGCTCTGCAGATCCATCTGAAGAACCAGTGTTAGAAGAACCAGTTATTGATCATTTCAGTGTGATCGGAACAGTTTGAGCGGCTCATTTCAGCACCATTTTTGAAAAGAAGGAATTTGCATAAGTTTTTAAAAGGACCTATTTTGCATTCTCAACTTTTAGTGTGTAATGTTGCTGTTTGAGCTTGAAAAAACTCTGGAAAAGTTACAAAGCACAGTCACTCCAGAGGGAGTTATTCTCTACATCACGGTAAAATTGCCAGAATGTCTGTGCTGTTCACACAATCAATGGCATTCTGTATTTTTACTGGTAAGATACTATTCAAACATCAATACCAAAATGCCTAGCTTTATGATTGGCCTAAAGCAGACTTCTCATGTCGGCGCGTTCGGACCTCATGCTCATATCGGTAATATTAATTCTTTGTTAAATGGTACTTCTCCTAATAAATAGTTTTTTTGTTAACATTCAAGGGTGAAAACCTATTTTATTCTAGACCCCAAAAACAAAATCAAGACTTTATAAAAGGGCATAGTAAGTCCACATTAAAGGGGCACATGGCAACTCTAGTCATTTCTCCGCTGATTTTCACTTTTGTTGTCGCTTGTGTTCTCATCGAGCTCCCCCTACAGCTGTGCGGCGTATATTTCACAACACTGTAATAAAATAACTCACTTGCGGCACCTTCCTCCCGCTTTCTACCGCTGCTCATGTGCATTTGTTATGATCAGAGCCGGCCAACTTTTTCGTGTGGAGCTTTATCATGTCTACCGAGTGGGTAATCATCATAGTCGAATTGCCATAAAGCAGTTTGTGTTTCTCGCTCGTTCTCGCTTCTCACGAGACTTCCTATTTCCAACTTACCTGGACGTTAGGATGTTGCAAGGTT